GTCTCTTTAGTCGGCAGAACTCTTGTCACCCCCATTCTAATGTCCCCCTGAACAGAAAGGTCATGCTGACCATTTGTCTCATCTTGGTGAGGGGAGAAGGCAAGAGAAAAACGGATGTTTTAGGTTCTTTCTTTTTCAAGCCATTGAGGACATTGGGCTGAGGGGAACTTTTCCATGTTGGCCAAAGGAGCCCTTCTCATATTTTGTACATCTTAGGCTCAAAATAACTCTTCTTGGTATTTGGGGGAAATATCTTCCTCCCACTCTGTTCCAGGAAATGGCTCCAAGCACCAAGGACAGAGCCAGGGAAATTGCAATTAATTCGGCCCGTCAGCCCCAGGCAAATGCCTGTCACGTCTGAGTGGCCTGTGCAGGGTGCGGAGGTGGCCCCTTGGGAGACGTCTCCTCCCAGAGCCAGGGGTCGTTGTCCCTACTCCAGCCTAGATGCCACCCAGGGGAACGTGGTAGTCAGGGGCAGTGACAGGGTCCAGGGAGGCAGAGTCCCTATGGTGTGTGCATCCTTGAATAGCATGAGTGCCGTTTAAACAAAAATCAAGCCAAATTCTCTTGCAATCAGTCAATCAGTAGGCCCTGTCCCCGCCAGTGGTAGGATTCCAGTGGCAGCAGCTCTGTTCTGGCCTGCCAGCCAAGAGCCTTAAAATTCTTTTTTGTCCACAGAGCTGTCTCAGAGAAATAGAAAGAGAGGTTGTTTCTGCTTAAAAGCAACACACCTGAGGCCTGGCCCCATGGAATCCTTTGCACTTACTTCATGTATGACAGGAGAAATGCCTTGCTTTTCAGCAAACTGCATTGCTCAGTTTATCAGCTTTTGGGAAGTGAATCTGTGATCAGTGCCAATGGCAACATCTCATCCCGTAGACTACTTCATCGCCATCTGTGCACACATTGTGTTTGTACTCGGGGGTGTCCCGCGCTGGGGGTGCCAAGGAAGAAGGGAGAAGTCACGGGGAAGACAGAGGGGCAGAGCAGAGGTTTCTGACATGCACAGGAGGCCCAGGGCACAGGAGCAGGAGCCAGGCTGATGAATGGGACAAGGCAGGGAGCTCCTGAGTCAACAGTCAAGAAGGAGCACAACCCAGGAAGCTGAAGGAAATTGGGGCCAGCGTGGTCCTCAGCTCATAAGAGGAGCAGAAGCCAACCAGGGTCCCAGTGAAGGGGAGACCTGGATGCTAAAGCATTTCCTGTTTTCATTAAGAAAGCTTTTAGGGCCCTCATGGATTGATCACAGCACCCTCTCCCTCTGAATCTGGATGGAGCTTCAGATCCCCCTCCACACAGCGCTCCAGGGAGCCCGCTAACAATTGATGGGAGTTGACATAGCAACTGAAACTTATTTGTTATCCCTGATAACACATGGGATCAGACCTAAGGGTAGTTTCTGATGAACAGGAATTATGCAACCCCTCACACTGACACCCTGGCTACTGGTTAAGTTCGTGAACCTGATTTCTCAAAGGAAGCTCTTATTGCAAATAAGAGAAAACCACTCGTGCTACTTCTTGCTTTTCAAACTTTGTACAATATTTATTGTGACCAATATGTAAAAAACAGAATGGAGATTCTCAAGAGTGGATTACCCATAATAAGGGTGAATTTTATTTCTTGACAGCCGGCAATCACATGTGAGCTGTCAGCCATCAAATATATGAGTAACTATTATGTGTCAGGCACCAAGCTTAATGGAGCCGTAGTCGCTGTCTTGAATTACCCCTTCCCACTCCGTAAACCCCGCTCTTCCCAGCCATTCCCCCATTATCAGGTCACAACCAGGCCCCCCATTCAGTTACTGACAATCAGTGAACCAAGGAAAACTTTGATTCACTCTTTTCTGATGCCCATGTCCGGATGCATAAATTAGTTAGCATTAAGGTCGCCTGCATCTACCAGACACCCCAAATAGCAGTGGCTTAACCAAGACAGAGGTTATGTCCCTCGCGCAGTCCAAGGCCAATATGGCATCTCGGCTCCACAAAGTCCTTAGGGACCCGGGCTTCTCCAGCTCCCTACCCTCTGTTCCTGGTGAGGCTGTAGTCCTCGTGATTCAAGATGGCACCTGAACGCAAGCTACTGGATCCACAATTCAGGCTTCGGGGCGGAGGAAGGGGTGAAAAAGGAAAACACACAACATGAGAGCTACCACAGGGCACTTTTCTTTGTGTTTAATTGGCCATAGCTGAGTCAAATGGTCATATCGAGTTGGGAGAAGCTGGGAAGTGTGCTATTTATTCGGGAACACATCCCTATCTAAATTTGGATGTCCTGTCACTTGGGAAGAAGGGAAGACTAGATGTTAGAGACAGCTGGCAGCCTCTACTGAGAGGGTTAGGTGTGCTGATGTGTGTGTGTGTGCGCGCACGCGCGTGTGTGTGATGTGTGAACATGTGTGTTATGTGCTGTGTGTTGATGGGCCAGGTTCTCTCCATCACTTTGATCTCAGATGGACCCATTGAGATCAAAATTCTCTCTGCGGCCTCCGTGGCGCATCCTAAACCCAGCTCTCCTCTTAGGCAGACTTCTCAGCATTTCAAGGAATGGCAATTTGTTTTCAGCGTCCACTGAAGCATATTACCAGTGGCGGTAGAGAGGGCTTGTAAACTGTTTTTCCATTAAGGTATTAAGGGGTGGCCATGATGTGAGAGTGACTATGACCAGAGTTAATCTGGTAATAAATTCTCTTGGGAAGGAGGGTGTCAATAACACATAAATCCTAGAAAAGGATAGGACTCAGTCTTGTGCAGAGGAAGAATATGCAGAAATACCAGGTACCCAGTTGAGATAGCCTGGGAGAGGCAACTGGCCAAATGCTCAATTAAGGGTTGGCCACAGGTGGTGTTACCCAAGCATTTCAAGCCCTGCCCAGTAATCACACAATTCAAAGACATTTACTCACTCCACCTACCCCCCACCACACACACACACACACACACACACACGCACATATGCACATACACACACACCGGCAAGGGCTTTACATGTTACTTACCCTTTGAGCCAGGTGGTATTATCAGTTCCATTTTACAGATGGGAACGGATGCTTCAGGGAAGTATTTTTCCCAGAGACACACAGTTAATAAGGGCAGAGCCCACCGCTGAGGCCCTGGGGCCTGACCGCTACATTGTCTGCCGCCGCTAGGGTTTCATGGAGTCATACGGGGCAGCGGGGGCGCAGCTTTATTTAACTCTGTTCCACCAAGATTTGGTGGAAATGTTAATTCAGGTAATAAGCAGTTAACAGAAGGAGTTTTAACTTCTTAAGAGAGCAAACAAGCACAAAAACACTTGAAGGGCCCCCTCCCAAATTTCCAAGTATTTTTCATATTTGAAGTTGATGTGAGGGTACAATCTCATAGTTTCACCCGAGAGCAGGGTATTTGTTCCCAGGTGCTGTGGTCCCAGGAGCTGCCCTTAGCTGGGCATTGGGGTGGTTTATGGTTTGGACTTTTCTTGAAGATTGGAGAAATGGGGAGGAGGGTGTTGAAAGGACCCCAGTCTTTCCAGGGGAGGCAGCCCAGAGTCTGAATTCCGGGTCTGCCACTCACCTGCTTGACTTTGGGTAAGTGAATGCATCTCCTTCAGCCTCACTTATTCCCCTGCTATAAAATTCAGATTAAAAAATACCTTTGATCAAGCATTATAAATAATATATAAGCGGACTGCTGATTTCTCCTGCATTGCCAGCATATGAATTATACTAATAATGCCACCTATAGACAGAAAATGTATTATCTCTTTTTATCAGGATCCAGATGAGGCAGAACAAAAAATAGCAGAGATTAACATTTTTGCGATCTCCAGACCCTTCATGCTAACATTTATTTACATTTAATTATTATTTCAGGCTCATCCACATATACTTAGCAGGGATCATTGGCCACAGACTCACAAACATTTAACTTTATTACTTTTTACCTCATTGCCTCCTGTACTGCATTAAAACTCTGCGGCTTAATCAAGGATCAGCATACTGTCAATTTTAGAATTCATGGTTCCGTGATGCTGAAAGTTTCAAACATTCCGGGAGGACATGTTATATGTTCTCCCTTGCCTCGGTGCTTTTGCACCTACTGCTTTCTTGGCAATTATGGCAACCACTTTCTATTCTTTCTAACCTCTGCTCAATCTTTAATACCTAGCTCAAGTGACACCTCTTCCAGGAAGCCCCCTTTGACTCCTGTGATATCCTGTACTTGTCCTTCTTGCAAAGCTCTTATTTCCTGAATCAGAATGGCCTGTTTTCCTGTTTGTCCCTCTTATCAAACTGTAAGCAACTCGAGGATAGAGAACACCTGTTGTTCGCTCTTGTATCCTTGGTGCCCAGAACAGCCCGCAACATATTGTCAGACCTTCCCTAAGTAGTGGTTGGATTCAGGCCCCCAGTGGGAGAGGCAGGGAAACCAAAAGCCAGTGATATATGCCGTCACGGAGAGATCAGCAGGCTGTTGTGAGTCATGGAAGAACAAGTCACATAATCTCTAATAATGGGGTAGTAATAGAATACAACTCACATACCTTTCCAACTCTTTCACATGCATTATCTAATTCGATCCTTATAAAAGCCTGTAGATAGGTAAATTGCAGGGGGAGAAAGGTAGAGTTTTAGCAGTTATATGATTTGCCTAAAGTCTTACAGTGGGTAAATGGCTGGATTGAACCAGACCTTAAAAGCCCACTCACTTCCTTAAAGTGCACAATGAAGTCACATCGTCACCATCGCGCCCTTTTGCTCACAGCCTGGCTTCCAGCTCTGTGGGCTAAAGCACACCTTCTCATGGTTTTATTGACCAGGCCTCGCCTCTCCCCAAGGAAATGCTTTTTATTAATGTATTTTTAGATAACGAATTGTCTTGGACTCTGAGGAGATGATAGGGCAGAAAGCAAATTTCATTTTTATCCACATCTGGTAATATGGTTGGTAACAGGGCATAGGGGTGTTCTCGGAGACAGCAGCAACTTGCAAGGTGCGGTTCCTTTGGTTTGCAGGCCCAAGACGCACACCTGGGAAGGAAAATGAGCTGTGGACTCCTGTGCCGATTCCTGTGGCTTTGGCCCTATCTGTTCTACCTTGAAGCTTTTCCCATCCACAAAGTCCAGTATGACACCAAAAACCTCATCAAAACGATTGTCACCAGGATTGGTGACATTTCGCACACGGTAAGGAGGGTCTGGGGAGACACAATAGAGCTGTGGCCAGCCCATGGGGAAACTGGGACCTCAGAGGTTATCTGAGGCTTGTGCAGCGACATGTTGGGGCCGCGGTGGCCTTGACACCTCCTACTGTACAAACAGTTGCCTCTTCTTGTCTCCGCCTTCTTACTCTTCTTCCTCCCTGACTGGAATCCTAGCGCCTAGGATTAGAGGGAGCCATAAAGGTCCTTGTGTCCCACTGGCAGGTGACCAGACCCCCAGCAGCATCCCCTCTGGGATCTCCATCGTGTCTCCAGAATATGCTTGTCAGTAGGCGTTCTTTCTTGTTGCAGCTGAGCTCTGAGGAGCCCTTAGAAAGTCTCCCCATTACTGCTAGCCCTGCCTGCCAAGGCTGCACAAAAGAGCAAGTCTACCCTTCTTCACAAACAACCCTCTAGCTATTTGTAAACAGCTATCAATGCCCCTTGGGTCTTTGTGTGAGGTCCATAGGCCAAGGCCTTCAGCCATTTGCTACTTCTTTTCATACCTCTGTTCTCTGGAAAACTGTAAGCTAGTTCCTCAATGTCTTTAAGTCTTGGTTTCATCATCTAGATAATAGGACTCTCATATATTCTTCATAAGGTCATTAAATTACGAGATTAAATTAGAGAAAGCAAGTGATCCCCCAACACCCCTGCAGAACCAGAACCAAGCATGCCCTCATTGAAGGTTTGTAGTTGTGGTTTTGGTAGTCCCCAGCCTTAAAAGCCTGCCTTTTGCCCTGTCTGGACTTCCATGTCTCCCGATCACTGTGGATGTCTGACAGTGGCCTTGGAGAGGAAGTTAAATGGCCAGAAGCAGGGACAGCTCAGAACTACATGCAGTCTTGGGCATTTTACAAAGAGAAATGCTTAATTCTCCTTGCTTTCAAAATAGTCATTTGACAAGGGTGCACGTGATAGGTCCAGAATGTCCCTCTTGTGTGGTGCAGGGAATGAGTGCCGTGGGCAGTTGGGAAGGGGAACCCCTCCTGGTAATCAGTTAGTGGAGCAGAAGAGAGAGGCAAGACACTCGCTGTGGAGAGTTTGACTGAAGGGAGGCATTTCCTGGGGGAGGAGGGAAATGCAGAGGGCTGGGGAGGGGCGCTTCTGGAGGACCTCAGCACCTGGGGAAGAGACTTAGTGGGCAGTAGGGAATCATGGCTGGTTCTGTAGCAGAGGCCATTTGGAGACGGGAACAACCTGCAAAGGCTGGTCTGGAAGTAGAGGGCAGGGAAGGGCAGGAGGACAGAAGTCCAGGAGACCCTCTTAGTGGCTTGGCAGCCACCTGGACACAGAAATAATGGTCCAGGCCAGGGTGGCGTGGACGGGGGAGGGGAAGCAACTGAGGGAACAAACCTCCATCCTCAATGGAAAGGCCGAGGGCTTTAGAGAATTGACTTGTCTCCCTCCTCGCTGAGCTCTTGCTCTCCCTCTTCCTCCTGCACAGCAGTCCGTTGCTTCCAAACAGAGGATAGCTGGTTTGGACTTCGTTCCTGGGCTCCACCCTGTCCTGACTTTGTCCGAGATGGACCAGATATTGGCCATCTACCAACAGATCCTCACCAGTCTGCCTTCAGGGAATGTGATCCAAATATCTAATGACCTGGAGAACGTGCGGGACCTTCTCCACCTGCTGGCCTCCTCCAAAAACTGCCCCTTCCCCCAAGCCAGGGGTCTGAAGACCTTGGAGGGCCTGGGAGGTATCCTGGAAGCCTCACTCTACTCTGCTGAAGTGGTGATCCTGAGCAGGCTGCAGGGGTCTCTGCAGGACATGCTGCAGGAGCTGGACTTCAACCCTGGGTGCTGAGGCCTCGAAGGCTTACAGAGAGCCTATGCGGACATCTCTTATCCCGGCCTCCAGTCCCTTTGTTTCTCACTCCTCCAAGCCTCCCTTCCAAAGGGCTTGGCCACCACCAGCCGCCAGCTATTCGGGCAAAAGGATCCCCTGAAGGACAGGGCTGACACCATGAGCGCACGCTGCCCCAGAGTCAGGGCGTGTCTGCAACTCAGCAAGTTTATAAGTAAATGAATAAATAAATAAAACCCAAGCAAACAAACCAAGACATGTGGCTTAATAACAATCTCAACCGTATACGCAAGCTTGAAAAGACGGGACTATTCCTGTTGCGGGCATAGTATATTATGTAGTATATTAAGACCTCAGAGTTCCAGCCCAAGTCCCGGGGTGGACTCGGGGGTGGCCCATCCAAGGAAATCACTTCCGTGGGTGATTTCAAGAATCCTCCTTCCCAAACATCTTGCTGATTACTCTGGAGATTTAATGAGACAATGACCCAGCACAGTGTGTAGTTCACAGTAGGTATAAGTGAACCTCCTTCCCTTCACCTCACAGTTAGCAACAGACTTTAAATGTCACTGACCAAGGGCCAGGAGCACATGGGCACAAACTCACCTTTCGTGTAGAAGACAGAGGGCGAGTCTCTCCTGTGCACTAGCCTAGGTGGGGGAGGAAGGGATGACCCATGAGAAGGAGCGGTCATATGTGGCTGGAGCGGCCTAAGTGGGTCACTTGGCAGCTGGGGGAAGTGGCTGGCTTCCGTATCAGTCAAGACTCCTTTAGCTGCCAGTGACAGAAATTCAAGGCAAACAAAATACCAAAAAAAAAAAATTTTTTTTTGGCCCATGTTGCTGAGAAGTCTAGGCCACGATCCATCTCTTACGACACTTTCCTTTGCGCTTATCCCCAAGGACCTAGAAGGGACTAGTGCCATGATCCACCCCCATTCCCGCCTGCCTGAGGTGTGTCACAGGGGCTTGGGGATAATGTATTTGTCCCTTTGGTGGCCATCTAGGACTGAGAAGCCCCTTCCCTCCTCACAGTGATGAGCCTCTGAGCAGAGGCCTGGAGATACCACTCCCTCCTCTGTAAGGTGACTCCCTGGGTCAGCGTGGAAGGCCATGTTCCTTAGATTGTCCTTCCAGATCCTTTTCCATCCTCAGGCGCTCTCTTGCACTCCCCTGAGGCGGCAGCTCACATCTGCCAAACAGCCAGAGGAGTCTGGGGGCAGCACCTGGCCATGTTCAACCTCCAAAGTCAGGACTTTTGCAGAGTCTAGTGAGAAAAGCATTGGGTCAACCCAGCAAGACCTTTCAGAAGACCCCGCCCCAAAAGCTTGCTGCACAACAGCATACAACCAAAAAATAATTACACCTCATTTTTCAAAAGGACAGAGAAATTTATTCCAGACTTTTAACATCAAGATCTAAGTGTGGTGATGCCTGACTGCACAAATGCACCTGGTGAAGTTCACTGGTCCACTGTCATCCTCAGCCCCAAGGGGGCCTTGCCCGGGAACCTACCGTCTCTGACCTGGGGATGGGAGCATCAAGGATGCAGAGAAGGTAACGGAGCCCCCATTCCCAGCCCCCATCTCAGCCCCAGCTCCCAGCCCAGAGGGTGCTCAACCCTTGAACAAGTTACATAACCTCTCCTGCCTTCAATTTGTCATCTGTGGAGGAATAATATCACTTCCCAGTAGGCCTCCAGAAGATTAAATGATAAAGTGTTTGGGAAGCTAATAGCCCAATGACTGATATACAGAAAGCACTTAATAAATCATGTTGTTATTAGTATTAATGAGTCAGGGGAGCAAAAGCAATGGGAATTGCGTAGCAGATTTGATGCCCCGGCCACCTCTGAGATGAGCGGCAGAGGTGTGACACAGCTCCCGGGCACAGCACTCCTCGGCTCTCCCCACGCGGATGCCTTAGGGAGCCTTCTCAGCCCACACAGGGCAGCTGGAAAGTGCGGGGGAGAGGCCTAGCCCCAGAGGAGCTGATTTCAACTAGCGGGGATGAGACGGTGGACAAATGCCCCAGCCTCCCACTGTCCACAGCGGCAATTCTGAGGTACACTGTACCCAGACTGAGCCCCGGGTGCCCCCACCAGGCACCATCAATGAGGCGCTCTCGATTGGCTCTCCCTTCTTCCCGTCCCCGCCCCTCACTCCTGCTTCCCAGGGTCACCTCTCAAATACACCTTCTGTGTCAGAACCCTCATCTCAGGTGCTGCTTGTGGAGGAACCCGGAGTAAGACAACTGCAGAGCAAAAAGAAGTGCATTTGGGTGCTGGGAGGACAGTGAAGCAAGGTTCCGGAGAGGTGCAAGAACCACACCCCAAAACTCAGAGAGCCCTCGGGCTGTCCTGAGGTGCAAGGCCAACAGGAGGGAAGAAGAGCGGCCCCCAGGAAGAAGGGAATCCATTTCAAGAAAGCTTGATGTGGTAAAGAGAGCAAGAGCAGGAATAGAACCTCCTAGAACAGAAGAATTAAAGAATTACAAGATAGGAAGGAAGGAAAGCAGGAAGGAGGGAGGGAGGGAGGGGGGGAAGGAAGGAGAGAAAAATGAAAGGGGAGAAATAGGTATCAAGTTAAACCATTCATGAAGTCTCTATACCTATGGCCTAATCACCTCTCAAAGACCCCACCTCCAAATACCATCACATAGGGTGTTAGGATTTAACACATGAATTTGAGGGGAACACAGATATTCAATCTGTGGCATCACCTTAGGATAACTGATTGGCAAAAAGATCAGACTAAATCAGAGGAGTCCCACCCTGGCTGGCGTGGCTCAGTTGGTTGGAGCGGTGTCCAGTAAACAAAAGGTCATGGGTTCGATTCCCATGCCTAGGTTGCAGGCTCAGTCCCAAGTGAAGGTGCGGATCAATGTTTCCCTCTCTCTTCCTCCTTTCCCCTCTCTGTAAAATCAGTGAGCATGTCCTTGGATGAGGGTAAAAAAATTTTTTTTAATTAAAGGAGTCTCAATGATGGGACCTGATGTTGGCAGTTCTTCCTCCCACTGAGCTCCCATAGTCCCTGTTTGCTCCTGCGGATGGGCTCACAGGAGATCATTTCCGTAGGGGTTTCCCCGCCATACCCCTTCCTGCCCTGGGCTGTGAGCCTCTGTGGTCAGGGTCGCCTCACCCAGCGCCCGGCTGTAGTGCCTGGCACAACACAGGCCTTCTGTTCTCATTTGAGCAAAGGAATTGTGATGCTTGTATACCCAGCCCATGATTTACATGTAAGCAAATTCTGCAAAAAGCCTGAAAACAATCCTAGCCATTAAAGGTTAAACTTCTTGTTAGAATTCTGCTCCCTTCTAATTTTCTCAGCAAACTTCTTTTTGAGATCAAAACTATAGGTTCAAACCCACTGTAAAAAGGACAGCTTTGAGATAATCACAAAATTTGAATATGGCTTCTGTTTGAGATTATGATAAGGAATTAGTTAATTTTATTAGCTGTGGTGACGGCAGGGTGATTAATTATTTTTAAATGTTTCTTTTTTTATCAGAGATTCAGACTGAAATAGTTTAGGGTAAAATGAGATGCTATCTGAAATTTGTCTTAAAATACTTCAGGAAAATATACATGTATTTTATTAAATATATATATGAGATTAGACAAACAAGATCAGCAAAAATACTGGTAATCGTTAAAGCTAGGGGATAGGTACACAAGAGTTCATTATACCAGACCCTCTACTTTGGGGTAAAATTTCCAGGATAGGCATTTTGGGGAAGGCTCCCTCGGGCTGGGTGCCCCCCACCTCTGGGCTCTCCGCACTCGGGGAGGGAAGGAGGAGAGGGTAGAGGGAGGCTGCGAATATCATGAGGAGCCGAATTATATTTAACTTCACATTTGATTTCACTGCCTGGCAGATGTCGCAGGGCCTTGGGGGACGGCAGACTGTCAGTGTGGGTGTGAAGCAGCGAACGAAAACAGAGATTTAGCAACTCAAACAAGGACAGAGTGGCAAGAGCCAGCTGCAAGATGCTGGAAAGGCAAGTCCTGATGCTCCTAAGCAGCAGCCAGAGGAACGAAATCAGGGCCTCGCGCTCGGCCCCATCGCTGCTGGCCTTGGGGTGCCCCATGGAAGTCCTGGAATGCCTCGCCTCCCCGCCCAGGGGAAAGCATGGGGTCCTCGCTGCAGTTATCCCTCCGCACTAAGTAGACTGTATAGGAAGCGAAGCCTCAGACCATATGTAAAGGAACATGGGATTCTTGCCGTTTTTTCCCACTTAAGCGATTGTAAGAAAAAAAATTATTCTAAAGTACTTTGTCCCTACTTCAAAACCTTGTCCCTGGGGCCAGCCTGTGCTCATCCCATGTCTCATTGGCTTATTTCATGCCCCACCCAGTGCAGGAGCAGCCCACTCCCCACTGCACCGCCCCGCCCCCGCTCCGGCCCACACACCCTCTACTTAAGCTCCAGGAATTCAGAGAGTACAGAACACGCAGGTCAAAGGACCCATTCAGAGTGCGGGTTAGGCCTTCCCCTTGGGCCCTAACCCAGGCCCCTTGGCACTGAAAGCTGCTGAACCTCAGACAGGGCCCTCCCGTCAAAGGCCAGTGTTTCGTCGCAGGCGGATGTTCCCGAGAAATATCACGGATCAGAAAACAATCCGGAAGATGCGGTGACTGCCCCACCCCTTTTGGCCATATTTCCTGAGGAAACACCAACCTTCACAACCTCACCATTTCTGTTTATAAAATGTGTGTATTTATCTGAGGGAGAACTAGCAGGGGCGGCATGAATCACAGCAGGTAGAGCCTCTCCGCTAAGACCCCCGTCCTGAGACAGTCACAGAGGGGAAGCCCCTAATCTCTTCCTCACTTGGGCTTGGACCTTGTGTCTGACTCAAATCTGAAAGTGGTCTTCATAGCCTAGTAATTATTTGGAGATCATGACAAAAGTCCAGGAAACCCACCGTCCTCCTCAGGATGGAGGGACTTACTACCTTCCTGCATTTGGGGGAGCAATGGAGAGTGTTTATTATTTATCCCATGTATTGGATGACAGAAAGGAGGCTTAGAGGTCTCATTGACCAGAGAATCACATCTGAGGGTTAGAACCTGAGCCTTTGAACTTGCAATACCCTGACTGGAGAGAGAGAGAGAGAGAGAGAGAGAGAGAAGATATATAGATATATATACAGATACAGATATAAATATAGATACAGATATAGATATAGGTATCTTTACCCACCCCATTCCTGCCCCAAATATGCATATACAGATTT